TTTTATCTACTTTTTGTACTTTTTTCCCCCTTGTTTTATTTATTTATTTTTTCTCTCCTTAAAAGAAATAAAAATAAAGTATAAAAAAAAAAAAACTGACATCCTTGCCATCGATCGCTGTGTCGTTCTTCACAGAGTCATCCTCATCATGTGCATTTAGCTCCCGTTCATCTGAAGCAGACGGCTCCACTACGAAAACCTTGGTGACCACAGCACTCTGGCGGCCATCACTGCATCACATTACAAACAAGTCTTTATTGGCTCAATGTGAGGTGCAATTAAACTGGGCAATTTTGACTTTTAAAGATTAAAAAAAAAACTCTTTTCACATTCGCACTAGTATATTTTATCACCTAATTATGGATATATAGTATAGATGCGTCATTGGGAATTTTATTTCTTAGAAAGATCACAATATTTTTGTAAGGCAACACATTTTTTTGCAAGAGAAGAAAAAAGCAATTTTACATTTAAAAAGATGTCCAAACATAGACATCTTGGCTAAAACAAGGCAAATTTGGACTGTCAGTGTATATCCAATAGACGTCTAACAATAGTACAAAAATAGACTAGTCACACACTATAAAAAAATTCAGCAGAATCGTTATGTGTTGGGACAAAATGAATTAATTAATTTAACGTAGTATTCATTCATTCATCATCCTTCGGCTTAGTCCCTTATTTATCAGGGGTTGTGACATCGTAATGAACCGCCAACTATTCCATCATATGTTTTATGCAGCGGATGCCCTTCTAGCCGCAACCCAGTACTAGGAAACCCCCATAAACACTCTGTATGTATGACTGTGAGGTGACAGTGCTAACCACTGAGCCACCATGCCACCATTTAACATACTAGTTTTTACAAATGGATTGAACATAAAGTTTTTTTAACACATAAAAAAACAGTTTTAGCCAGTTTTAAAAAAGTAATATGAACAAACAGCAAATGTATTTTTTTTAAACCAAAAAACAAAATGCTTGCTTGGAAATGATTTGATTAATTTTTCTTAGGGGAAATCCATAGTTTTACAACAAAAAGACATTTTTTGTGTGTGGCAAAGCATTATTTTTGCCACAGTTTTGTAACAGAATGCTAATATTTCACAACAAAATCAACTGTTTTGACAACACAAATGCTCACATTTCAGGAGAGAAGGTGATAGTTTTACAACACACAAGTTTTGCAAGAGAAAGCAAAAAGTATCAATGGAGTACTCCTAAGTAATAAAGTAAAGAAAAAAAACTTTTCTCCCTTTGGCTTTTGTCATCATCACTGTAGTTTTAGAAACAGCACTAAATTTCAACACAAAAAGACCTTGAACATTTTTAAACAAGTAAACAATAAAGGAATAGTTTTATTGAAATTTACCAAATATGAAAAAATACTTTAGCAGTTTTTATAGTAAGTACTTTAGTGATATAATTTGATCTCAAATATTATATATTATAAGTAATAAGGTTTTCAAACCATACTATTGTACGTTTAAATTAATCTGTTGCGCTAACTCAATTAATTGTTTAGGTATTACAACACATGTAGTAACAAACTAGTTTCTTAAATATAAAGGTTTTCTACAACTAAATGGTTTATTATACTACAATACTCCACAGTTTGCTGTTGTAAAACCAAAAGTTAATACAGTATTTATTACAGATTTACAGTTTACTATAGTTAATACTTCACTATGCTGTAGCATTCATTAACAAAGTGTTGTAAATACTATATTACAATCAAAAACACTATAGTATTTACAATAAACTGCTATATAAATTCTTTCATGATGTGGGAAAGCACAAAACAAAATCTCAAAGTTTTAATAAAAATCAACACTTGTAGCAGTGCCTGTAGTTAAAAACAACACACACATTATTATAAAAAACAAAGCATAAAATGTACCTACATAGAGACGGCCATGGCTTTCACATACACTTTCCCCACAGGTAACCGAACAGGTTCAGTGTACTTTAGAGTGCTGTCAGCAAAACCTGGCCTCTTTGTCAGCTCCGGCTTACTGCCGTCCAGCGTGTACAGGACCCTCACATCAGGGGATTCTGGGAAATATACATTATAAAACACATGAAAATCAACAAGACGCAGGCTTGTGCTAAAGAGATCAACCAAAAATGTCATTTCCTCTTACTCAAACGGTTCTAAAATGTTATAAATGTCTTTCTTCTGTTAAACATGAAACAAGACATTCTGAAGAATGTTGTAAACCAGCAGCCATTCACTCCCATAGAAGGAACATATTTTGATTGTCTATTGCTGATGCTTTCCAACATTTTTCAAAATATCTTCTTTTGCGTTCAACAGAAGAAAGTTATTCATAAAACTTAGAATAAGTGGAGGTTGAGAGCTTTTTCATTTTGGGGTGAACTGTATCTTTAGAGCTAAACTGACTCACCTGACTTGATCTCAACAGGAGTGCTGGAGTCTATCTCATGCTTGGCTTTACCTGGAGGAGGAATGCGGATGGGGATTATTTGAGGTGCTGCCACTGATCCTGCAGTCATGTTTGTGCTCTTTAACCTGCAATATAGAAAATAAAATATATCATTAGAATGACATAAAATGCTTAACGTTATACTATTATTAGTGCATTAGGCTACTGGATAATAAGAGCTTACACAGACTATTTTTTGTAGATTGAAGTATCTCTAATCACTTTACAATTGAATTGTAAATATTTCGTATATTTATATTAAATGAGTGTTTTTTTCGATGACACTCGAAGCACACGATGTGTACGGTGTGTACAAGACGCTGTAATGTTAGACTGAACACACAGCTGGCTGCGCTATTGGTGGGTCACGTTACCCATGGCAACTGATTAGTGCGCATGCGCTCATTTCCCACAGTCAAATTTAAAGGGGTAACTCACTCCTCTTGACATTAATTCTGTAGCCATTACTTCATATTATTTTCGTCCATGGAAAACACAATTAGAAAAATTCAAAATCGTTTATTATTTTCTTGAAACGGTCTAAAAGGTTGGCTTTTGATTGACCCAGCTCCCTCTACAGAATTGTGGTAAAATTTTAGATTCACACATTCGGACTTTCCTCAATAATTTAACTTTTTTTTAGTTTTTTTTTGCAAATTATAATATAAAATATTAGCAGCCAATGACTATCTAAGCACAACATTGTTCACAGTCAAATAAATATTGCTAATGTTGTTTTGAAGCCGTGTGACTGAATATTCAAAGTACCATGATAAACAATATAGGGAACATGTCACAACTTGTCACTGAATGAATGTGCCAATATAAAACCAACTTTAGCTCAATCTCTAGGGACCAGTAACTGGATCAGATTTTTATATCAATTTTACTTTACAAATTCTCTATTTGTCTATTTTACCTGAAACAATTTCCCGTGTATTCTCATTAAATAAATTTTAACACATGCGTACTTGATGCAATATTTTAAACAAAGTTTTTTTTTTAAATCATATGTCTTTATGTTTGTAAAAGAACACCCAAATCGCCATTCAGCATAATTTATGTAAAAAAAATTAAAAACATTGTGACCTAAAGCATAAAACAAGATCAATGTAATTCTATTTTGAAAGTACAGCATATATACGTTTTATAAAGCTTAAATTAATTATCAAAAGTACAATTAATTAGTGTGTCACAAAAGTCTTGTGTATTTTACTGGGGTATTATACTATAGACCATTTCAAGGGATGTAAACAATAACAATGGCACTAATGTATTTCCTCTATGACATTTAGAATTTCCATAGCTTCCAAGAATAAAAAAGGACCACAAATTGATAAATAATGTTATAGCAGCTGTTTTAAAGTTAATATATGATTAAATTGATTTGTTACAGTTATGAAGTAGTTCAACAACGAGCAGGAAATGTTCATGGGTCAGTGACATTGCCACATCGAAATGGTCTATTTATAACTCTAAATTATATTTTAACGGGAGTCTTCTACAGTGTTGGAGGTAATGCGCATTACAAGTAACGTGAGTTCCGTGATAGTATTACTTTTCTAAGTAACGAATAAAGTAACACATTACCTTCAGAAATTAAGTAATAAAATTTTAGTTACTTTTTAAAAAGTGTAATGTGAGTTACTTTTTAGTTTAAGTAATTCGCTTTAAAAAAATAAATTGCTGAATTAAAATGAATGCCACACTCGATGAGAGAACGCAGGAACAGACAGACATGAAGATGGCAGAGCTATAAATTTCTGCGATGGAAATATTCTCATTACTTTGAACACATGGAGGAAAAGCAAAAGAGTATCATTTGAATAGATTTTACTCCCAAGACAAAAAGTACTAAAGTAGGAAAAGCATTCTTTTAAACATTCATTATGCACCATGTATAGCTCTGGGCTCAGAAACTGATTCGAAGATAACTTTATCCTACATAATTTTTAGGAATTCAGATTTTTTTTTTTTTTAGGAAAAGAATTTTATACAGTGTGTTGTTAACTGTAGAGCTAAAAAATGAAGAAGAAGAAAAAAAACCTGCAATGTCTGCAAGAGATCAGCCAGCCTCACATAGGTCAAAAAAAGTAAAGCAAAAGTAACATAACGCATTACCTACCATAAAAAGTAACTAAGTAATGTAACTAGTTACTTTTTTGGGGAGTAACTCAATACTGTAAAGCATTACTTTCTGAAGTAACTTTCTCCAACACTGGTCCTCTTTAAATCATGAGGATATTTTAGTCACAGATATACTCCCGTACAGTAGGTGGCGATGTAAATCTTTTGTCTAGATTTGAAGCTTTCAGTTTCTGTTGCCATATCCGTGTTTTATCAACGAATGTAGAATACTTCCGTTATAAATACTAAAAGTCGTGTCTTAACTCCGAAATATAATTGGGTTTGACAAAACAAAATGCTTAATTCTCCGTTAAAAAGAGACAAGCCACCGATGTTGCGATCCTATTTGACAGCAGTCTGATGGGTTATTTTTCGCTGTCTGGCAACCCAGTCGCCTGTAAACTCTCCCCGCCTCTCGCACACTGCAATACCACACGGCGTTTCATCTTAGCTTTAAATGGGTCTATGAATGTATTGTTTTGTTGACACTAGGTCTAATACTCCAGTAACTCCAGTCTGATGCACAATGACAGAAGTTAAAGTCAAAAAAGAGTCAACGGACCCTGTAGATATCGAGAATAGGTGAGTTGAACGCAGTTAACGTTACACTATTCTTGCGCATGCGGCCTGTTGACGTTAACAAAACACCGTAGGACAACGTGTAAAGTTACATGGATTTAAAAAAGCAATTAAAGTTTCCATCAAATGTATTGTCTTTTTTTGCCACGTGTACATGTTTAGATACCGAAAAGTCTGACAACATGAAGCAAAATCTCTTTCTTAGTAACTTAGAGAGCTTCGTTGCATTTCATGTACGTTTTGAATGACGAAGTTTTAATAGTGTATGAGTTTGTAAACAACCTCTTTATTAGTATTATTTTAGATGAAGAACAATACATTGCATTTATGTATGTCTATTTAATGCGATATGTTTATTGGCTTGAAGTACTAGTTCAGAATTACGTCAGCAAAATGCATTAAAGTATTTTTGTTGATAAAATAAAAGTGCATCCTTTACATGTTCATCCTTTTCACAAAGACAATACGTTTTTGTTTGTTAGATAGTGTTTCCTGTCTTGCAGCACAGAGGATGCTGGGAAATGTAGTTGTTTGCTGATGTTTGCTGTGTTTTCCTCTTCTGTCATAGGATAAAAGAGTTGTGTCAGCAGTTTCCACATGGGATCACAGACCAGGTCATCCAGAATGACATGCCTCACGTTGAGGCGCAGCAGCGAGCCACGGCCATCAATAGACTGCTGTCTGTGGTGAGATGTTCAGCTCCATCTTACTGTAACAGAATGAAACATGCGTTCCTGCACTTTATATTTATGTCTGATTGTTCTTTTCTGTCCTCAGGGTCAATTAGACTTGCTCAGAAACAGCAGCGGGCTTTTATATAGGCTTAAAGATACCCAGTCTGCAAGGTTTGTGTGTCAATATTCACACACAACACTCAGATTTGTTCAGTTTATAGTAATTAATGTATAAATGAAAAGAATATGAAGTTCACACACACAAAATATATATACACATGCAAGTTTAGTGAGCAAAAACTAATTCTAATAAATACATACATATACATGCACAGACATTTATGATCAAATCAATTCGTTACAATAAAGGCAATACATGTCATATGTGCGTACAAATTTAGGACATTTATGTAAGTTCAGATTTATTAAAATTATCTTCTCAAAGTTCATGCAAATTTGCACATTAAGAAAATGATTTAGTATTAGTAAATGTAAAATAAATAAATGTATAATTAAGTTCATTTCTTTGTTTGTTTCTGTTTATTTTGACAGCAAGGTAAAAGGCTCTGATAACCAAGAGAAACTAGTGTACCAGATCATAGAAGATGCTGGAAATAAAGGTAAAATGCTTATTTATCATCAGGGCCAGACAGAATCTGCGGAAGTTTTTTTCCAGTCTTTACAAACTGCATTGTGCATAAATCAGATGAACATTTTCATATTAGTCCGTAATATTTCTGTAATTAATTAAAAAAAACTGAATAAGTATAGATTTACACACATTTACCCAAGTAAATAAACGGAATTAATGATGGGCTAAAAATCTGGAGAAATCTGCGGAAAATCTGCGGAAAATCTGGAATTCTGCGAAAAATCTGCGAAAATCTGTGTGTGCAGATTTCGTGTGGGCCTATTTATCATTCATCTGTAGCAATGTATATTTAAATCTAAAATAAACTACTGTTTCATATTGATTAGAATATTTAGTTTAATAATTTTCTTCCTATTTGTTTTGTAAAGGAATTTGGAGCAGAGACATCAGATATAAGAGTAACCTTCCACTCACTGAAATCAATAAAATCCTCAAGAATCTTGAGAGTAAGAAACTCATTAAAGCAGTGAAGTCTGTTGCGGTGAGTTGATCTCCAAGCTGTATATAAAACTTTAACATGTTTAATTTAGACCTAATGAATTGTCCTGCTTGTTTCCATCCAGGCGTCTAAGAAGAAGGTGTACATGCTGTATAACTTGCAGCCGGACCGATCTGTGACAGGAGGAGCCTGGTACAGTGATCAGGATTTTGAATCAGAATTTGTTGAAGTTCTCAACCAACAGTGCTTCAAGTTTCTGCAAAGTAAGGTGAGACTGTAATATTACTCATAAAATCTGCACAAAATCAAAATGTACAATGTTAAGGTTGCTAGCGCACATCAAGGTTATTATAGTTAACGAGAACGAACAAAAAAACAAAAGCTAGAATTGAAAAAACATTGTCGTTAACTGAAAAAAAAACAACGAGAGTTTAAAAAAAAAAAGAACTTACTAAAACTGCATTGTGTACATACAAAGCTAACTGAAACTAACAAATATTATAGCAAAAACATCCTTCGTTTTAGTCTAGTTAATGTATTTAATACATAAGACTCTTGGAAGAAAATCTATTTTCTTCGCAATGCCAGTTGTACGCTGGGTGTTTGAGCCATACGGCACCTTGGACATTTCATTTGAAACGATTTGCGTCTCCAGTAAGCACTTATCCACAAAAACTTACTTTCTAACATGACTGATACCCCCCTCTGACTTGAAATAAACCAGTTTCCTAAGTTGTTCATTTATTAGAACAGTTACACAGAGATTGCAATTGGAGAACGGGTGAACTCATAATAATACGCTTGTGTGATTGAGTGAACTGAACACAAACAGTATGTGACAGCCTGCTGTGACTGAACTAAACTTGAACAACCACAGCGTTTTTAAACCGAGGGATTAAATGAGAGGATCTAACACAGGGGTTTTCAAAGTGTGAGGCGCGCCTCCCCTGGGGGGCGCCAGAGCATGTCAGGGGAGGCGCGGGAAAAAATATAATATAATAAAAATATAATAATTAAGTTTAATTATTGTATGTATTTTTTATTATATTTAAACGTTTATTATATGCCTGCTAATACAATGGGTCGGTTTCTTAGACCCACCCCGATTCAAAGCTGTAATGAAGTTCACGGCCCTTTGGCCGCCGGGAAGGAGGCGGAGAACCAAAGCAGTTTTAAAGTGATTTATTAATGACAGTGACGGCAGCTCCGTCTAAACCAAAACAAACGGACGGCAGATCCTCACGGAGACTGCCGTCAAACTGAAAGCAAAAGTAAAATATGTCCGGGTCCGGTCCTCTCTCGGCTTCCTCTGCCCTTGTTCCTCCTTTTATGATCCAGAGCTCCTTCCGTGGGATCTGAGGCAGGTGCTTACGCGGTGGCCTCACTCCGTTCCCACGGCGCTCGGCCACGCCCCCTCGCCACAAAAGCCTTCAAGTTCAGGGCTTAAACCCAAAAGACAACGATATGATGATCAGTATTTGAGTTTATGATTTACGTGGACAGGACCAGCTGATCAACCACGACCTTTATGTGTGGTTTGTTAAAATAATTTGGCTAATGACAGCATGAGACCCACTAAACTTCCACTGTTTTGACTGGGATGGACAGTTCTATTCATATTGAACCATTATCCTAGTTTTAAAAACGTTATATTAAAATACTTGTTATTACTCTGTAAATAATTGCACTTTCATGCAAATGATGATAAAAGTGAGTTAACAGTCTGACATCTGTCTGTGGCTTTATATATATATATATATATATATATATATATATATATATATATATATATGTATGTATATGTGTGTGTGTGTGTGTGCGTGCGTGCGTGCGTGCGTGCGTGCGTGCGTGCGTGCGTGCGTGCGTGCGTGCGTGCGTGCGTGCGTGCGTGCGTGCGTGCGTGCGTGTTTGGGAGGAGGGGGGCGCCAATGGATAAGTTGTCAAAAGGGAGGCCCACTGTCTTAGACTTTGAAAAACCCTGATCTAACATAAAGTTAGTTTATTACACAGAAATAAAATAACAGGATAACAGAAAATCCTAATGGAATTTAAATAAGTGAATCATGCTTCAGTTGGGTTGCAATAATTAATTTTAAGAAACTTTCTCAGATCATGGTGATGTTTTAACTGACTGAAAGTGTAATTGCTGACTACATCTTTTTAATATGTTGAGCCCAAACATGGAAGAATTGTCATGAAAGATCCAGTTCATGGAGAAGATCTGAATTTTCCGTCGCTAAAAACTAATACAGAAACTAATAAAAACTAAACTAAAACTGAGCAATTTCAAAATATAGAAACTAATAAAAACTAGTTAATTTGATTTTAAAAACTAATTAAAATTAATGAAAAATCCAAAACTATTATAACCACGGCGCACATTGTTAGTCTTAAGGTGAACAATTCATCCAGGCAAGACAGTCTACTGAAAAAAAAAAACTTTTTGTTTTGGCAGTCATTAATTAAAATCTAATGGATATAACTGTATGACTGTATAAATGATGCTATTAATTAACATAGATAAATTATTGTCTCTTATTTCACCTTAACATATTAAAATAAGAAATAAATAAATTCTGTTTGCATAAATGTAAAATAATAAATAATTTTATAAGAAATAAAATTCTCTGGGTTATTTTAAGGTGAATCCTTTTATCAGGTTAAGAAACCCGCATTAGTAAATAACAAAGCCAAATATCAGTTAATCATAACTTAAGCAGACCCATTAAAAAAAAGTTTTGAGCTAGACGTTTGTTTCGTAATGTGGCACGTTTGCCACCTTAGCTTTTGTTTGGGCATATGTGAAATCCGCGATTGAGTTCTTATGAATGCCAAAATGAATGAATGAGATGGTCTCGGCTTAAAATCTAGAGCGCTTCGGTGTTCAGTTGCTTGTTTTAATTATTTTGATCTGTCTATAAACTTTGTCATGTGAAAGCAAAACGCATCAAGAACAAAAAGCAACATTGTAGCAATTTTCAGAACAAAAAAATTGATCTATAGGTGTGAAAGCAAACCTTAAACTGCGTTTCAACTTACTAGTGTGACACCGAATTAATCAGAAATATGTAAGTTAATTCTGAAGTTGATTGAAGTTGAGTCTCAATTTTCCAAATTCAACGGTTCTGAATTCTGAATGTGATGATTTTTGAATATTAGTGTGAATTGTTGATTCTGACTTCCTAATTTGGTTATTTCCAAATTTGACTCTTAAAGAAACACTCCACCTTTGTGAATGATGACTGAATGATGGAATTTAGTTTTATCCATATTTTACAGTAAAATAAACCCTGCATTTACTTAAAAATGTGAAATTTTTAATAATTAGCAATATGTTTGTTTTTTAGGCTGAAACAGCGAGAGATAGTAAGCAGAGCCCTATGGTGCAGAGAAACAGCTCATTTGCCACCTCTCATGAAGTGTGGAAATACATCTGTGAGCTCGGCATCAGCAAAGTGAGTGTCAATAATATGCTTTCTGAAAACATGAACGGAAAAATTCAGTATAATATGCTGCTCCTGTGTGCAGGTGGATCTGTCCATGGAGGACATCGAGACCATCTTGAACACACTGATCTTTGATGGAAAAGTGGAAATGACCATAATTGCCGCTAAAGAGGGAACAGTAGGGAGTGTGGATGGACAGATGAAGCTCTACAGGGGAGTCAATCCCATAATTCAACCCACTGGCCTGGTTAAAACACCATGTGGACTGTGCCCGGTAAACCTTTACTGTTTTTTTTTTTTTTGAAAGAAACTATTAAACAAGTCTGAATGGAGTAATTCAGAATGTTCTAAAATGTTTCCAATATGAATTACTGTGCCTGAGTCTGTATCGGTTAAATCTAAATTTCCGTCTTGATTTTGATAAGTCTGATTTGAAATTGATAATTCTAAAGCCTGAATTCTTATTGGGCTTAGTCTGAATCCTAGATGTGGTGATTGGGAATTCTGAAGAGTCTGTATGAGCGTTGCACAATATGTAGTTTCAGCATCGATATCACAATATGCGCATTTTGCAATAGTCACATCGCAGGATCTGCAATGTTGAACAGGTATTATTTTTGACCAGGAGCTACATTTGAAACTCTCATGATTTGTGGAGGTATTGCAACGTTTAACCATAAACATACAAGACATGTATTACTTATGTGTGTCTTTATCATTTAAGTTAGATTAAAATATTTAGGCATAAAAAAATGTTTCTAACTTTAAAAGCGATTCATTGTATTTATATATATATTTTATACGACAAAGACCATACAGTGTTATTTTACATTTATGTATGTGAATATTGTTAGACTTCCAGACAAATCAAAAAGCACTGTTTATTTAATCTGTATGGTGTAGTGCACTATTATATATCTCAATGTTTGTGATTGGTTTATTATATTTTATGTAGATTCAGTCTCTCTTTCCAAAAAGACTTATTCAATTCATCTGGTGAAATTTTTGATTCAATATCACAATATATATCGTATAAATAAAATATTGTGAATTCATGCAGCCCTAGTCTGTATTAGGAATCTTCATAATTCTGTATTGTATGAAGCAGTATTTTGGATTTAAAATGTTGGTTTCTACATTTTCTGAATTGGTTGGTCTGAATTCTGAATATGATGACTCTGAATTCTTAATTTGAGTAGATTCGACAATTTGACGAGTCTGAATATTCCAAATTTAGGGGTTCTGAATTCTGATTGTTATGATGTTTAATATCAGTATCAATTATTTATTCTGCATTCTTAGTTTGGCAATTCTTATATCTAAATTTGAATGGTCTGAATCTAAGTTTAACTCTTTTGCTGCGTCCACACCAGACGCGGAAGAAGTGCCAAGTGCGAGTGATTTACATGTTAAGTCAAAGCAAAGCTGCGAATATATATCCTGCGCGATACACGCGAATGAGGTGGCGCGAATGATGTGGTGCAAGTTGAGCATTTTGCGCTATTGATACACTTGACGTGCGTTTCGAGCGAATTGCCCGATTTGGTAAAATCTGAACTTCAGCAGACAGTTAACCAATCAGGAGGCTTCACCACATTAACCAATCAGGAGCTTGTTCTTGTATGGGGTATGCTTATGACGTAGCGCCTGTTGTTGGTGTCCTGAGGGAAAATCCCCCTGCCGACACTGACAACCGTTGATCAAACTGGGCTCGGCTCAATCAGAAGCACTGCTGAATGCCTCCATCATCCAGATTATGTTTCTGGAGGAGTTTATGAACTCACAGAGCTGGTTGCAACTCAGAAAGGATATAGTGGACTCAGACATGGCTCCAAACGAATTGATGCTGTTTTTCAGCCTTCATAAAGCACGTAAAAACAGCTATTCACTCAATAAAATCTATGTTAGCCATTTAGCAACAAAGCTACAGTTGCCAGGAAGACAAGCCCTAACCATGATGCGATCCTGCATCTGTTGTGAAGCGGATGATGCACAAATGAAGCGAGTAAACTCAAAATGTTCACACATTTATAAACGAGCGAATAGCGCATGCCACATCTGGTGTGGACACAGCATTACAGGAACATGCTCTTTTCACTAGTCTCCTAGAGTTTAACAGTTAACTTGAAACATTTTTGAATCCATTTAGACGATTTCTTTCTTTCTGGAGGCGTCTCTTTTAGCTTAGCTTAGCATAATGCATTAAATTGGATTAGACCATTTGCATTTCGTTGAAAGAATTAAAAAAATGTTAATAGTTTTCCTATTTAAAGCTCGAGTCTTCTGTAGTCACGTTGTATTATATAAAATTGTAGCTTTTATTTATACTGACAGAAAATTAAAAAGACAATATTGCTAGGATTTATGCTCTCATTGTGGTCAAGAAACTGCATAGTGTCTATATAATAAATACATCGTACACACGCATTATGGGGCGATGCAGTGGCGCAGTAAATAGTGCTGTCGCCTCACAGCAAGAAGGACACTTGTTCAAGCCTCGGCTGGGTCAGTTTGCAAATCTATGTGTAGTTTGCATGTTCTCCCCGTGTTTGCATGGGTTTCCTCAGAGTGCTCTGGTTTCCCCCATAAGTCCATACACATGTAGTACAGGTGAATTGGCTAAGCTAAATTGTCCGTAGTGTACGAGTGTGAATGAGTGTGTATGGATGTTTCCCAGAGATGGCTTGCAGCTGTAAGGGCATCCGCTGCATAAAACATGTGCTGGATAAGTTGGTGGTTCATTCCACTGTGGCGACCCCGGATTAATGGAGGGACTAAGCCAAAATGAAAATGAATGAATGAATGACACGCATTATGTAAACAAACATTTTAACTGGTATGGCCTAATCAGAACTCTAGTACTTAAAAGAAAGTTGCATATAAAATTTTCTAATTGGTTGCATCAAATCAAGTTGAGCTTTACTATCATTCTGCGACATGTTAGGACATGAGGACAGAGGAACTCTCGCAGGATAACGGTGCTGCATAAATTGATCATAAATTGAGCACCCTCTACTGTTGAACACTTTCCTAGATCACCTTCTGCTGTTGAACACTAAGGTCAGAATTGATTCGAGGGAACAGTGAAACTTTTGGAAAATCTCTGAATCAATTTCTTGAAAGATTTTTTCACCACAGCTCTAACAGACTGATTTAATGAAGGTTTTTCACAACATTTCTGCTTTCTGCACAGTTGGACAGAGTTCGATATTGTGTATAAAGACTATAAAAGTATTTTTTTCACAAGATTGAACAATGTTGTGCAGGATATTGTGCAAGAGAGCTATGAAAGGTTGAATATTGTGCAAAAGGGCGCAACATAATTGTGGTACATTTATTGTAAGCATTGTTTTCTCTTTGGAGTCCTTGTAAGATGGAGTTTAAATAAAGAGTCAGGTGCATTAAGAGAGAAGAGTGTTTCTACATGTGGTAAACCACTGCATGCAAATCTAACTTTTTCCTAATTATTATTTTTTTGTCTTTTAGGTCTTTGATGACTGTCATGAAGGAGGCGAGATCTCTCCATCCAACTGTGTTTATATGGCCGAGTGGCTGGACTTTTGATCCACCAACCACATGTCTCTGTTTTTCTCTGTGGAGAAAGTATTTTTCATGCAGCGATTTGATGCAACTGAAGATATATCTTATTTATTTTGAACATTAATAACAGAAGCAGAATTACTGCAGGTAACTAAGCAGCAGCTTCCATCTGGTCTTCAGTCAGTTTTGAGTCATAAAAAGGCTTATTTGTAATTATTTCTTCGGTTCACTCACTAATATGTCTTTATCAATCAATAAAGGTTTTCATATTTGTTGATGGCTTGTCTGTATATCGGTCTGTGTTTGTGGCACTGTTTCCATATTTGATCAGTTTAATAAAAAGTGTTTTTACAGAAATATTTTAAATTATCACAGAATAATATAGGTGAAAATCCTGTTAACTATTCTGTTAATATACATATAATTCACAAAAAGAAGGTGATTTTCAAGACTCATCACTGTAAATCGTGTGTGTGTGTGTGTGTGTGTGTGTGTGTAAATAAAATAAAAACCCCCCATGCAGTCAAATAAAAATAGGACTTTGATTATGATGTCAGGTCAGTGTTCTATCACAAATCTAAAACTGCTGTCTTGTATTTGCAACCGCAGATTGCATCTGCAGGCCTGTAGCCAGTGAGGGTTTGTATGAAGTCCATCTAAAAACCATCCAGTCAATTGCAATGGTCATTTTTATTAGCTTTTTAGTTAACCGTGAGTTTGCGATGTTTTCACTTTGCACTGAGCTCATTTGTCTTATTTTGACTGCTAGAGAAGGGTTCCAGTAAATGCAAACAATTATATTCCATATTTCACTACAAGTAACTTTTATTTTGAATCTTGGACCTTATTCTTGAAAGAAAACAAAATTACAATAAAAACTTTTAAAGCAGCAAAAGCAGCTCATATTAAAGTTATTTTTGGGGACCCATCAACTTTCAAAATGTTATTTTTTTATTATTATTATAATTTTTTTTTTTTACAAAAAAAGATAAGGAAAATCAAGAATTTCGACATTATTAATATGAATGTTTTATTTTTTTATCATTCAGATGGCCAAATTCTGACTGAGGAAAGTTAAATGTGCTGGTCAGTTTATTAGTTGCCCAATAAGTGACAACAGGATACAGCTTTTTTTCTAATGGTAAATGATGTAATAAATTTGTATTTTTAAAATTATTATTTTTTTCATATTTCTTTATTCTAAATATTTAGCAAACATTTTTTGTACCTCAAAAAAGTCAGACTAGCTAATCCAGTTAAAATAGCGCTTAAAATGTAAAATGCAGTATTTAAATCTCATAATTAAATAGAAAGTGAGGCGTATAACTGCAAAAAGTCCGCTTTTTAATTTCCGATTTCACCAGGCTGGTAGTCCTGATCTGGTATTACAAAAAATGTTTGGAGCCCTTGTTTAAGTGAAGTTCACTTTATTCGGGGATGATAATATTGGTTAAGCTCGCATTTCCATTTCTGTTAATCCTGCTCTGATGGCACTATGAAGTGTTTGGATGCAGGAATAGTTCATGCAAAAATGAAAACTGACTCCTCAAGTGGTATATCCTTAATGACTTTATAAAGGAAGATGTTTTGAAGAAAGCTGAAAACCTGTAACCATTGAAAACATGTCTTTCCATATAAGGAAAGACGATATGGAAGTTGTTGCGGCTTTCTTCAAAATATCTTCTTTTGTATTCAACAGCAGAAAGAAGCTCAGACCGCCTTTTAAGTTTGAACTTCCTTTAATTCATAAAGTAGCAATTATTGAATCATAATGACATGCATAATTCCGGTTCAGGTAACAATTATGCTAATATATATTGTCCTGTTCGTTAACGCAGTCTGTTCGCAGGTACAGAGATAATGAACAGAGCAAAAGGTGTTTACATCAGTGTGACACATCACGCATTTTTATCAGTCTCTCGCCGCCACTTGCCTTCTTTCGCGCTCAGTAGTCATAGTAACCTGCCAGAGGGGCGCTTAGCAACACGAGAGGAGGAGGACCAGCATCATCTGCTGCGAGCGGAGGAAAAACAGCCGATGCATCGACCTTCACTTCATCCAGCCCTGCTCCTGTTGCCGAACTGCGGGATTTGTCCTTAATTTCTATTTTATAAAACGTCACACATCTGTAAAACTCGATTTAACGCTATAATATATAATCCGATCGCCGTGATGAAGTTCGTCGTGGTTATAGTTTCCGCTGGCCTTTTGGCTTTCCTCGGTGCGGTCATCTGCATCATCGCCAGCGTGTACCGGCGCTCATCAGCCGCCGCGCCCCAAGGGCTCTCCGACAACCGCTCGCTGTCGCTCCTGGAGCCGCTGCCGGGATCGGTAGCGCACGCTGGGCCGCTCGGCGCTCTCCATGGTGCTGAATCTTACGAAGGAGGAGGTTTGGACATCGGCCTCGAGATTCCGTCGATCAATGAGCTGAGCACCGGGGACGTGACCAGGCCGAGTCCGAAACAATTCACCCTCAATCGACTCATCTGCACCCCCGTCCCACTGAGTGACTGCAAATCAAGAGGTTTGAGGGAACAATCCGACGATCCGTTCGCCGAGGAGGAGGACTGGAGCCTCCGCACCACCGCCGAGGAGCTCCGGCAGATCGTCATGCAACAAAACGATCAGATCCTCATGGACCAGAGAACCATCACCGAGCTCACCGGAAAGCTATCGGAGTGTGAGAACGGGCTGGAGGAGCGGACCCTGAACGAGCGCAGTATGGGAGTGTGGGCGGGCGGCCGTCGCCACATGGCCGGGGATGATGTGAGCGGCTCGGTTGCAGTGCAGCTGCAGACCGCGCGGGCTGTGGAGGAGCTGGAGAGGGCGATACTTCAGCTCAAAGACCGCATAGAGAAGTTGGAGGTGAGTATGAGAAACTGCAACACTTTATACTTCGATCTACAGGTTTAAATGAATGAATCTGGTTTCTGCAGTACAGGGCAGCTTTTCCAATTTTCATTTTAGTGACACATTAAAACACCAGATTAGACTTTTCTGAAATCCTTAATAGCCTATGTTTTCTAACCACCTAAGAAAGATATCCACAGAAGCCATGCAATATATATATACTGAAAAAGACTATATTTGCCATTATGCATACAAATCACAACATCACCAATTAACAACAACAACAAAAAAAAGCATTATGAAAAAACTGGGTATAGGCACCATCAACATTGAAGTTTTGGTTGATCTTACTTGCTCCTGCTCATCATTTCTGTTGCTACACTGTTTCTCTGTGTGCACCTTTCTCTCATTTGCCCTCCATCTTGTCCATCTATGGTGTAGAAGGCACATGCATAAATCATGAGGGAAGACAGAATAGTTCAGGTTTGCAGCCAACAACACCCTCAGTCACCTAAACTGCAGATTTTATTACAAACTCTTATTATTATTTGAAACAAATTATTTGAAATAATTGGTCAATTTAAATGAAATATAGACATTTTAAAAATTTAAAGTTGACAAACTTGAGAACAATTTTAAAATGTTGCCTTTTCAACTAGTAAAGTAAGCACTTAAGGGATAGTTCACTCCCCCAAAATGAAAAGAATTATGTCATTAGTTACTTCATTTGTTCCAGCCTTGTTTGCATTTCTTTCTTGTTGAACACAAAAGAGGAAGAAAGCTGTTCTGTTTTTAAAGAAAGCTGGAGACCTGTAACCATTGCCTTTCATAGAAAAACAAATACAATGGAAGTCAATGGTTAGTTCTTCAAAATGTTATTATGTGTTAAACAAAGAAAGTGTGTAAATATTGTGTACATTTACATTTTTCGGGTAACTATTACTGAATGTGAAATTAAAACTTAACATCAATATGTTAAAAAGCAAAAACTTACAAAGCTTAAAACAATTAAAGTCTATAAATGTTGAAAAAAATGCTTATTTAACATATTAGTGAACTATAATATGAAAATAAATGAAACAGGCTGTTATCATTTAAACAGATTATCTTTCATTTTTATTTGGACATTTTTTAATATTATTAAAGCATGCATTATAGCTAAAACTGTATTAAAACGATCTGTATTATAGATCTGTATTCTTAAAGGAGACATTTTGAACAAAGTCGGCTAGTTGTTGCTTTTTTCAATCAAATTAGAGGGAGAGTTTAAACTTTTACAAAATATTGTAATACCATAATAAAAATATTTTATAAAAGCATTTTTTAGGCAAATGCTGGCAAATGTGGATAATAACCAGATGGAGTTTCTCATACATCCCACGACTCAACATGAGCAGATTTAGCACATTTAGTCAGCATAAACAAGCTGTGACCAACAGACACCAACAATAATAAAACACAGATCCAGCAGAACTCAACCAACGTGACTCTTGATGTCTGTCAGTATAGTGTGAATTATCCTTATTGTTTGTGGAACAGAGCAAACTATTCATCATTAACTGAAAATACTCATATCCACTCTAGCTTTTCTAGTTTTCTAGTCTTTGAATGAGTATAAATACCAAGTTATATACACAGGCTTTATTAGAAATACATGCTTCAGCCTACTCTTTTTGTGAACCGCAAAAACATACTTTAACATACATTTGACTGCAGTTTCTAGGTATGGGGTAATACGACACCTACACCATTTGTTCCTTTTCACACTAATGATGTTATCCCAAAATGGACAACTTTTCAAGCATGTTCATTTTGCCCAGTAGCTCACTTTGTCAACCCAGGCTCATTCCGATTATGTACCCCTGTATACATTTCTGGAGAGAGCAAAATACATTCCAGGAGCTACTTTTTTTTGCAGTTTTAGCAAATCCACCAGAGGCCACTGTGTACTCTTTTTCAGACCTCAAATTTCTCTCTCGAGTGCCATTTGCGCCTGCTGCTCTCACATAAATCAACCAGAGGCCACTATCGACAGACTGATTTACTGACTGACCAATTGACTGATGCCCCCAACCTCCCCTTCCTTAAACCCAACCGATAGTGTTTTAAAAAGCATCGATTGACCCGCCCAACCTCCTCCCAAAACTTAACCGCAGTGCTTTAAAAAGCAATCCAGAAAAAGCAAAGCCCTCTGATTTTTTACCACATTTTTAGATTTTACCACATTCTCACCCTGTTATTTACTTGCTTACATGATTTTTTAGCTTTTGTCTGTGTCTTACCTGCTTTCTGGAACCATTTTTCACTGGACTTGAACCACGTTGCCGCAGTTAACTCCGCTCTGCAGCTGCATTTTAAAGATGAAATGTAGCTCCGGCTACATAATTCGCAATCCCCAGAAATGTATATAGGGCTACGTTTTTAGAAAGAGCCTATGTTGAACTTTGTATAGCATTGTACTTGTGCTCAGGTTCGAGTCCAGTTCCACAAAAGAGGTAACAGCAATGAAAAACCACATGGTTACTGTGCACTTTTCTCTTACATTTGCTTTTGAAAACATTGTTGGTTTTAGAGAAGGGTTCGCTGGTCTAGGTAATCTGTACGAAAAGTCTTGTCCTCTCATGGATCTCTAAAAGACACAACTGAAATGTACATCCAAAAATACCCCAAGTAATGTTTCATTTAGTAAAAATGTAGACAGTGCTCTCTAGTGGATTTGTCATTTACAATGTGCGACTAAACGCATCTGGAGCAACATATTTTCTGTTGCACAAAAATGTGAGGCATGTATTTACCACTAGCCTAGGCTGATTATATTTGATTCAAGAACAAATCACTCTTTCAAAGTCCTATAATGCAAGTTAATATAGTCAACAGGATGGATTAGGTTTGTTATAATGACTTATTGCATCATTCCCTCTCAGATGGAAATAGGCCCTGCAGCCATAAACCACACTGAACATACTGTGAGCACACTGGGGAGCATAGTGGTGGGCGAGCCTGGCAGGCCTGTGGAGGATCTGGAGGGAGAGCTGGAAAAGAAGATTCGGCTGCTGGAGAAGGAGAGGAAGAACCTCCGCAAAGAGACCCAGAGCCACCACCAGCATATTGACCAGGGAATCAACACCCTGCAGGAGCGTATTGCAGAGCTGGAACAAAGTAAAGAGAAATGCTGTGTCAAACTCAAGGAAGTTACAGTGTATAAAAAATAAGTCTCTTCATTTTCAACTCTCCCTTACTGTTTGCTTTCCAGGTCTTACAGATTACAGTTATCCACAAGGGTATAAACTTTCCTTCCCCGTGAGGACAAACTACATGTACGGGCTTGTCAGGCGGAATATTCCAGAAATGTATGCCTTCACAGCGTGTCTGTGGCTTAAGCCTGCCGAGAGTGGAATTGGTACACCATTCTCTTATGCTGTACCAGAACAACCCAATCAACTCGTGCTGTTGCAGGGCATTCATAATCCTGCAGAACTACTCATCAATGATAAGGTAAGACCCACTACACCTTCAGTCTGCAGCTACCTTGCAAAAAACAGTTGATGGGTTTAACAATTCCCTCCATTTCCAGGTGGCACAGTTGCCTCTATCTTTGCCAAAAGGCATCTGGCAGCACATATGTGTGAGCTGGACTCTACGGGATGGAGTTTGGAAAGCATATCAAGGTGGAAAGATGAGAGGACGGGGTGACGGTTTGTCTGCATGGCACCTGATCAAATCTGGGGGCGTCTTGGTGTTGGGACAGGAACAGGTACGACGCAGAAACCTAAAAGTTTGAATACACTGTACATGCTCCAGGGGTATAATTGCCTTCAGCTTGCATGCCTGGAAGCTTTTGGTGAGTCCGAGGATCTTCATTTGCAGGTTTAGGTGTGTTTAATTAAAGATCAATAGAGGTGCCATAAGTACTGATCTATCAGCAGATCATCATGTACAGATTCCCTGATAGACTTTGCTTTCAAACTCTCCATTGTCCCTGTATCTGTTCAAGCTCTTTGAAGTGACAATCATTGGAGCCAATCACAGTCTAATGAGCACATGGACATTAACATGTGTTTAAGAACCTAAACAAAAGGGCTCAAATGTTAGCAGGAAAAGGATGTACAGATTGGTGCTGAAGTCAGTACTTTTGACAACACTAATATGAAGACTCAAACTCGGTCCTGGAGGGTCAGTGTCCTGTAGATTTTAGCTCCAACTTGCCTCAACACACCTTCACGGTTGTTTCTAGAAAGCCTAGTAAGAACTTGATTTGCTAGCTCATGTGTGTCTGATTGGGGTTGGAACTAAACTTTGCAGGACACCAGCCCTCCAGGACTGAGTTTGGGCACCCCTGCTCTAGAGGTACAACAACTTCTGATTACATCAATACCCTTAAAGGGACATCTTTGCACTTTATTTACCCATAAAAAGTTCTTAGTTGTATCTTAAGGATATAAATGTCAAAAGCAAGACACTGAAACCTAAAGATCACCAGGTATGAACAATTTTGTTCCTGGAAGGTCATTGTCTTGCAGAGTTTGCTCCAACACACTTTCCTGAAAGCTTCTAGTCAGTCTACAGACCTTAATAGTTGATTCAGATGTTTAATTAAAGTTGAAAATAAACTCTGCAGGACATTTGCCTTCTTACCACTGGAATAAACTGTGGTAACACTTTATTATGATGGTCTATTTGAGTATTAGTAGACTGTCTGCTTAATATCTGTTGATACTGCTCCTTCAACAGACATTTAACTGACCATCAGAAACTTTGCAAGTACATGTCAACTTACACTAACCCTAACCCCAACCCTAACAGTCTACTTATAATCTAATGAGATTCAGTTGGCATGTAGATGCAATTTAACTTAAATTCAACAAACAGACCATCAAAATAAAGTCTGTGTGACCGAAACTATCAAATGTATAGCTTCAATTTTTACACATCTACACAGCTTTTCACTGGAGCTTTATCCATAAAAGCATGTTTATTCACTTTACCCCTAATAAGTTCAATGTAGTACTTTCAGTAAACACAAGAATGTAAATCCTAAATCAACTTTGAATTCAACTCTCTCCCGGAGGGGCCACTATCTAACCGAGATTAGGTCCAGCACACTTTCCTGTGTCTAGTGCTGAAGACCTTGCTGGGTTAGTGGCCCCCCAGGAGCAGGTTTGGACACACCTGGAATACACTCTCAAGCTACACATTTATCCTCAGAACAAAACATAAAATATTTATACTGGAGAAGTACACTTAAAGGGACATCATATATCCAAAGAAGTCTGCATTAATAATATGGTGTGTGTTCTGTACAGAAGCAAGAACAACATTTGTTGTATGTTCTTCATTGTTGTTTATGAATTGTTTGCAAGTGCAAGGCAAGCCACTTTTGAGGGTGCAAAAGATGTGACATGCGAACGACCTGATGTTTATTGAAACCTTCTGCCATACACCTCACTTATCAAGTAAGGGTTCAGGCAGCAGAAACGCAAACCTGATTAGGGTGACCCTTACAGATCATACTGTATTGTATTGTACTGTATCGCTGATTGGAAACATAATTTTTAGGTTGTCCTTTTTAGAATTTCCCACCAGTTTACACATTAAGGGCCCTATCATACACCCGGCGCAATGGGGCGCAAGGCGCAGCACAATAGTCTTTTACTACTTTAAGCTTGGGCAAGGGTCATTTTGAGGTGTTCGAAATAACTCAGTATTTTGACCAAACTTTGTTATTATTAATCATTTATTTGTTTGCTGGAAATTAGAACTGAATTTAGAAATAGTTTTGAAAAAAATCTTTGCGCTTAACAAATGAAATTAATTATTTATAGGCTAATTGATGTCTGTGCAGTAAGGTCTCCCTATCCACGAGAGCAAAAGCGAAAGTGAACTTACTTTACGTCATGTTAATAGCAATGCGCTTATGGCGCGACGCAGCTGGCTCTTAAAGGTAATGGAAGATGAGAATCTGATTGGTTTATTCTCAAACACAACTATAACTCGTTAAGAAAATAAACTCAACCCTTTTAGACTATGCGCCTTGGCGCAAAGCGGATTTTCCCGTCCTTAAGTTAGCAAAAATGCGTTCTGGCACGCCCTGAAAGCGTTTGCACCCTGCGTTTTGCGCTCTGCGCATGCACCGTCAAAATAGAGCCCTAAGTTAGTTTTTCCTGTATAGGTTTATGTATACTTAAGGGATTGATACGTTTACTTTCAAAGGTACTACCCTACTGTCAAAGTATTGTACTTTTAGTGTTACCATTTTATCATATTATAACAAACATTTGGCTTTTCTTGGTTCTAATTTAGGATACCCTTGGTGGGCGGTTTGACGCATCCCAGGCTCTTGTTGGGGAACTTTCATTGTTTAACCTGTGGGACCGAGTGTTGTCACCAACTGAGGTGGCCGCTCTGGCATCTTGCGCAGAATCACCACGCCTGGGGAATGTGGTGCCCTGGACTGACAGAGATGTGGACGTGTTTGGCGGGGCCGTGAAGGATCCTGTGGACCCCTGCATTAAGAGCTCCCATCCCCGGCAGTGAGTGGGGCCAAAAAAATGGATACCTTTCTTTTTAAGGAGCTAGTAAAAGAGGCCAAAAACAGCTCGAAAGATGTGACAACTGTGGCGTGGTCCATGTCTATGTATAGAATGTATTTACCATAGAGCTACACTCTCACCGAGTGTTCACTTCTGCAGGGAAGGGATTTGTCTGTGCGCGTGATTGTGTTAGTTCAGATAAAGCTGCAGCCGAAGGCTTTTAAAGGCCTGTTTGCGTCTCGTGTTCCTTGTGTTATTTCATACCCTATTTCCCACAGCATTACCGCACAGTGGTCCCTTCAGATGTAGAGAATGTTTTTTTAATAAGATGGATGCGGCTCATTTTCACAGCAACTGTCTTGGTCTTGTTTCATTATTTGTGTAAAGTAGAGCTTTCACTTCTGTCCCCAAGCCTTTTCCTTTCTTGTTTTTTTATTACTGGTTCCTTAGGGTTGCTTCCTTTGTAGTACACTGTTATTTCAGTCTGGCAGCACTTAAAGGTGTACAACATCTTATCTTTATCATAACATGTCTTAAAGGTTTGTCTTTTGGCATCTGGTCAAACCGACTTTGCACTGTGTTTTTTTCCCTCACAGATTCAGAAATCCAAAAATGTGTCATTTGAAGCTTAGTATATTAAACACCACAGATCTGACGTGCAGCTCACACACTATGAACATATGAATGTAAAACTGTGTTTAGCATCTTGTCGTGTTACCATTGCATTGCACCTCGTCCGACCCTTTCACAGTGAAAAGCTTAAAGGGAAGTGCCTGTGTTTATTTGACTTTCGCTATCGATTGATCAGCTGTGATGTCAGTGTAGTGCTTCTTTATATTTGCACCACCAAGGATCTGCAATGATATTGTGACAAATGTGGATGAAAATATTAAAAAATTAAGAGTGTGTTGTCTTGCTTAGTTTTTAAATGTCACGAAACCCCAAATTTGAACCACAAAACATCCTAATTGCCTGAAAATACTGCAATATGCACAATAGGACAGAATCAGCTCAAAGACCAGAATGCAAATCCTCACATTCACTCCGCTGCTGTTGAATTATAGATGTGTGTTAATCATTCCATCCATCACAATGACCCCTGCTGCTTCCCACAAGCAACCTCTTTTCTCTTCAGTTTCTGTTCATCACATAATAATAACAGCATCACATTGTGTTCAATTGCTTCCCTTTCACAGGATTTTTTAAGCTGTAAACTTGCTTACATTCTTTCTGAAATTTTGAGGTTAGATTATCCCCTCCCCCTGCTTTTATTTGTAAATCTATCTAGGGAAAAAAAAGAAAATCCCCTATAATCCACAACTCAAAGCATGGTCTGTCGGGGAAACTCACGGAAAGCTTTTTACATGATCAAGTGTTGTGCCTCAAAATCCAGCGAGTTTCCACACTGTACAAGAGGAGAGCTTAATGCTGCAGCTCGATATTCCATTTGAGAGTCACACATCACACAGTTTAGCTTTATTGCAGTGTTGACAGCATAGCTTATCTATAATTCATTCCTTTCATTAGAATAAAATGCGAAACTAACAAATTTGAAGTGTGTTCTAAAAATGTTAGGACTGCAGTAGTTGAAATAATTTCAGTTATTAAAATATATTGTTAATTGTACTACGCCACATTACTTTACCATTGCCGTGGACGGACACCAAGTGCAACAATGTTTAGAACTTCATAAAATGTGGTGCAATTCCATTCTGCTTCTCGACTGGTGTGTGAAGCCCTCAGAGTGTTTCCACGAGTAGTTGTACAGCGGTGCTACTCCGACCATAAGTGTAAGCATGTTACTTCGATTGGTCTCACGCAGTCACGTGATTTGATTTCGCAGGTCAGAGTTCACCATGCTTGAACTTTGCAACACAGCAAACTGTGAAACTTGTCACACAAGCTTGTGTTTCCAGTTTGATGCATTCGCATGCGTTTAAATGGAAGTCTATGGGGCGAAAAGTGCAGTGTAACCACAGCTTAATTCTAAACTGTGAGAATACGAAGCATGTCAAAAAAGTTCCAGAACTTTGTGTAGTCGCCACTGACCAATAGTAGCTTGAAGGTGTTTAGGACTAAAACAAACTCCCCTTTAGTGAAATTGCTGAAATTAACTCATAAAGTACTTTGTTTTAGCAGGATTTTGTTCAAAATAAGGTCATTTTAATACTTTTTTTGAGATTTTGTTTGAAGTACATCGAGGACTTAAATCAGGGGTCATCAAACTTGTTCCTGGAGGGCCGGTGTCCTGCAGATATTAGCTCTGACCCTAATTAAACACACCTGAACAAGCTAATCAAGGTCTTAAGCTGCGATCACACTGGGCTTTTCCTCCCATAGACTTCTATTCATACGCACACGAATTCGTCAGACCGGAAACACAAGGTCATGCATAAAGTTTCGGAGATTGCTGCGGTGCAAAGTTCAAGCTTGGTAAACTCTGGACCTGTGAAATCGCATCACTTGACTGCTTAAGACCAATCGAGGATCAAAACATGACCTCTCTGGACAGAATTAAAATATGAAGCAATAGCTCGCTTTTTAAATGTTTAATCGTCTTGTTTAATCCCGCCCCTTTTCGCAGCGGCATACGACTGAATTTCGCACACACAAACTCTAGTGTGACCGCAGCTTTACTAGGTATTCTTAAAACATCCAGGCAGGTGTGTTGAGGCAAGTTGGAGCTAAATCCTGCAGGGACACTGGCCCTCCGGGCTCGAGATTGGTGACCTCTGCCTTAAATCAGCAGGAGGGTTAATTTACTTAACCCCTCAGGCCATCTGAGAAGTAGGTGACAGTTTTTTACAGCAGAGCATGGAAGAAGACTTCATCACTGAAAATGTTGTTTATGCAAGCCATAAAATGTCATTACCTGCAGGAGAAGCCACATGGGGGCGATGCAATGTAGATTGGGGGGTGGTTGGAGGCCAGAGCCACAAATACACATATTTTAATTCAAATACACTTAAATTTAATCAAATATATTTTAGCCAATTAAATCTAGAGTATATTTCGTTAACTGAAGTTTTGTGAAATTCAGTGTGTTTGTGTGTGAGAGAGAGAGATCAATGGAAAACCGGGGCAGGTGTGTGTGTAATGCCTGAAGGGAGTTATAGATCATATGGTGTAGTCCGAGTAAAAGTGAATGTTCTCCATTAATCCATGTGGGTTAGATCTCTTGTGATCATAAAAGACTGCAATCATTTCTTGCTCTTTCAGCATTTCTTTAGCATTAAATGAACATGAATAATTGCATCATGTTTCAATAAGTCTTTCCACCACAGAAAAACATCAGTTAAACTGCTGCCAAACAATATCATGTAGAATTTACCAAAGGCCAGTTATTCGGTGTCTGAAATGACAAGAATAAACAGCCCTTTTTTAACATGTATTCATAATAAAACATTAATTTGAATAAATCCTGAACTATTAAAAATTTCATTTATAAATCTATTTTTGATTACAGTAGACTGCATGCTAACTGGTCTTAGATCAGTGTGACTGTTATCTGGGGCAAATTCACCAGCTGTGCACAGATGTATCTGGCGCTTAATACAGGTCAGTGACAAGCCGGAGAGAAAACAAGGGAGATGAATGCTTGGTTTGTTTTGTTTTGATCCTGCTCAGACTGCAGTGGGGTTACTCATGGACATGACCCAGCTGTGGTCTGATTTATAGTGAATATTCACCAGAATAAATGTATCTATTAACAATTATGCTTATATGAAGGTTTAAAGTGGTTCTATCAAAAGTAAAACAAACAAGTAATTAACAGGGTGAGAATGTGGTAAAATCTGAAAGCGTGGTAAAAATTAAATGAGGGCTTTTCTTTTTTCTGGATTGCTTTTGAAATGACTGTTGGTTGGGTTTAGGTAAGTATGTGGGTGGGTGGGTCGGTCGGTGATTTTAAGAACACTATTGGTTGGGTTTAGGGAAGGAGGAGGGTGGGTCTGTCAGTCAGTCAGTTTATGCCAAAATAACAACAGCTTCATGTACAAAGACTTGCGTTAAATTCATACTAAAAATATTGTGTATGCACAAAGCTGTAAATTTGCATACACAGTAAAAAATTCAGATGTATGAAACACTGCATACGTGGAATCTCACGCATTTTTCTCTTTGTACAGTACATCCGAATTAACGTGAAACTGAGCGCACAAGAGCAAAACCCCTCCCTGCCTCCTCCCCCTAATAAACATGGTAATGAATCTACTTTGGCAAAAGCCAGCAAAAAAAGGAACTTGTCAGAATGTGAATTGGAGGTGCTTACATCAGAGGTACCCCGGAGAAAAACTGTGTTATTTGCAAGTTTGCACTCTGGAATTAATAACAAAAGAAAAAAAATAGAGTGGGAGAGCTTAGCTGACGCGGTTAACCCAGTGGGGTCTGAACATCACACTGTGAGTGAATTAAAAAAAGAAATAGTCTGATGTAAAGGTGCAGGTTAAGAGGAGAACAGCGGCGCACCGTCAAAGTGTGGACCGAACAGGCGCGGAAACAGGGGATGCTGAACTAACACCCTTTGAGGAGAGAGTTGCCTCAATTGTGGGCAACACTGTACTGTCTGGAGTAGTATCCGTGTTTGTATGGGAGACACACATGTATTAGAGGAACACTGTTAGAGTGGTATAGCAGCACCCCTCCACTCTTATCAAGGCAGTGCCACCAGCATTACAACTGCCCATTGCCCGCTCTACAACTGACAGAGTGCCTGCCATCTTGGAGCCTCATCCCAACCATGCGGTTTGTGAGGATAAATCATGGGTTGACCAAGGCCACTAGGCTACAATATTTGTTAAGGGCATTTGAGCATCACATATTATTTGCACATTTATTGAATGGAAATGTTTCCGATTCACGTATGCAAATTTGTTTTCAGATGGCACTGTTATAGCAATGTATGTGCAGTAGATCGCTCTGATTACATTGGGGAAGCCGGCGATCGCTGCAAATTGCACTTTAATGTTTGGCTGGTCAACTGCATGGTATGGAAACCTTATATACCTGCTACACATGCAGATGATTCGGTCCCATACAGCTGCCATTGCACGGCTCAAAGATACTTTGTAGTGTGCAATTTAACATCATTGCCTCTAGGAGTCACCAATGGAAATAAAACAAACACACTCAAGAAATGCACGTACACCAGACATGAAGTTGTCGTGGACCAACGCACATTCGCATGTTCATTTCATCTTTAGAAATTGCAAACTTTTGTTCTTAAGGGATTAATTAAATTTTTCGGGTGCGTACCCGTGAACTGTACCCGAGTTCGCCTGAAAGAGGTGGTCTGGGGTACAGTTCATGCTTTGGTAAGCCAACTGTACAACAAACTATCGTTTTCATAACGTTCGTTCGTGTGTGTGTGTGTCTGTGTCACGTTTCATACGTTGGTGACGTGCGTGACTAAGCCAGGACAAACACAGTGATGTCTGCTTGTCTCTTCCAAAAGCAGCTTCTGCCGACACTGTGTGATGTTCTGAATGTTTATAATATTTTATATTATGGATGCGAGTCGCTTACTCTGTGTCCTACATTGAAAGCTTCAGTTAAAGCTGAATGATTGCAGTGTGCAGACGTCTTTCCATTTCGGTGCTTGCTTTCATGACCTCCACCTAGCTTTGGCCGTAAACAAAACAGCAGCTCGATACCGCAAGTGTACCGGGGTTCAGAAGGAAAAAAGACAGTGTGAACACAAACCAACCGAGCAGGTGGCAAGGGGAGACAATCAAACTTGGGTACGGTCCAGGCAATTGAAACAAGTGTGAAAGTTGGGTCCCTTCATTAGTGGCAAGACCACTTGATGTACGATGCCAACAGTCGGTCGGTGAGTAAACAAAAATAAAGAATAAAAATACAAAGGCCTGAGTTGATAGATGAATTACCAATCTACGTCACACATGATGTCACACGGGTTCCCAGTTGCAAAAGCAAACAAGTCATGTTGTGCATTCATTTATTCATTTTCTTTTCAGCTTAGTCCCTTTATTAATCTCAACTTATCCAGCATATGTTTTACGCAGCGGATGCCCTTCCAGCTGCAACCTGTCTCTGGGAAACATCCACACACACTCAAACAATTTAGCCTACCCAATTCACCTGTACGGCATGTCTTTGGACTGTGGGGGAAACCGGAGCACCCGAAGGAAACCCACGCGAACGCAGGGAGAACATGCAAACTCCACACTGAAATGCCAACTGACCCAGCCAAGGCTTGAACCAACGACCTTCTTGCTGTGAGGCGACAGCCCTACCATGCCAAATTCGAAAGTCAAAAAAACTAAAAACTTAACTTTTACCGTACACCACACTGCTTTTAATGGCAACTGCAGATGTCTTTGGCTAAAAGAGAGCTAAATGAAGTGAAGACCTAATTAAAAATGCTGTACTCTTCATTACTTCATTGTTTGCAGCAATGATTTCAGCAAAAACAGTTACATATGGTTAATTAAACTGCGGACGCTGTATGCTAAGAATGAAATGTAAAAGTGTAAGTTATTAAGGTAAAGTTGGTTTTATATTCACACATTCATTCAGTGACAACTTGTGACACTCCCTATATTGTTTACCACGGCACTTTGACTATTTAGTCTAAAATAACCTGCAAGTGTGACTTGAAAACAACATTAACAGTGTAAACAATGTTGTACTTTGATAGTCATTGACTGCTAATATGATGTTGCTATTTAGAGTTTGTAAATAATACTTATATGAAATTATATTATTAAGCAGAAAGTCTGATTGTGCAAATATAAAACCAACTTTACCTCCATGTGTAAGTTCACATACACTACCGTACAGTTGCAGTTCACTGTCAGAATGCAGTAGTTTTTGCTTGTTGATGATTACCCAGGCCTTGTATAACGTTAGCTCCATCTTCTTTCCTTGTCTCTTGCTAGGCAGAACCTTGGTTTTTAGCACCACAAAGTTTTGAACCTGGTAATCATGGAGCATTTTTTTGTGTCCTCGATATGAAGATCACATCTGGGAAGTTTCACGCATCCTCTGTTCTTGTGGTCTTGAGTATTGGAACTGATCTTTGGCAGCTGATGATGACGTTGCAAGAGAACACGAGGACGCAAGAGAGCTGAAGAATGCATATTAAGAATCAGCCATTGCATCAGGCTAAGATGAGCATATTTTAAATTCTTCTGGAGTTTTACATGGCGGTTGGCAAACCAACTTTAAGGTGCATTTTGCACAACCTACTGAGTTGGAGTATGGAGCTTAACTTAGTTAGAAATCTTGAGGGATTATTAAAGGAATACTACATGGATTTTTTTTTATTAAAGAGAGAGAAAAACACTAAATAAAAAAAGAAGGGGGGGGGGGGGGGGCATACATAAGGGAGACCTATTATATCATATCCGTTAAATCTGTGTGTTTGAAACATCTGAAAATTCCATTATTAACCTTTTTGTCTTTGCTGTCTAAAAAACCTTTTAGGGAGAAATGGACAATATTTAGCTCTTTTAATGCTTCAAGAAATGAGTTGTGCTGATTACTTATTTTTGTACTTCAGTTAATACACAAGATACCATTTCAGGGAGACCACAACATCTTTCACAGTTACCATTTTCGTGCTCTTCAGTTTTAAATAAACATTGGTTTAAAGCAGAGTGCTCTATTCGTAATTTTGTTATGATACAATCCTTTTTTCTGTTCATTATACAAGTCCTTTCTATACCCACTTTCCTTTGAATTTCATCTAGATATATTTCCTTCTCCTCTTTCACCCATGTGTACTGCCACCTCCTCTTTATCTTAGATACAATCAACCCCTTTACTTCTCCTGTACTTAAACTGACCCTAAAGATGACACCCTGCTCTTTCAATGCTTCTTTTGCCATTTTATCTACTTCTTCATTTCCTTCTGTTCCAACATGGACAAGGATCCATAAAAAGCTGACTTTCTTTCCCATTTCATCGATGTAGTATAATGTATTTAATACATTGAATACAATATCTTGTCTGTTTTTTAAGTGTCCACTTTGAAAACTACACATTACTGATTGGGAGTCTGTACATATTACCACATTTTTATGCTGATGCCTTTCTGTCCATTCCAAAACCATAAGAACAGCAATAAATTCTGTTGAAAATATGCCTTTTCTTCTTCTTCCTGTGGTTTAACGGCGGATCGCAGACTAGTAAGTGCATTACCGCCTCCTATCTTTCATATAGACCATAGACACTACACACAACAAATTCCTAACTAACCTACCTACCCACACGCAATCACCCATTTAGAGACTTCATTGAGTTTTATTCGGCGCTGCATGCTCAGCTCCTCTGTCCACCCTCAATACTCTTGGTAGGGGAAAAAAAAAAAAAAAAAAAAAAAAAAAAAAAAAATATATATATATATATATATATATATATATATATATATATATATATATATATATATATATATATATATATGTAAATAAAAAGAGGGGGTGGGGGTTACACTCACTTATGTAATCTAGTACTTAAGAATAAATATTAAATACTGTAACAATAAAGATTTAACACTTCTACCTGAATTTAATATATTTTTTATTGAAAACTGCTCTGCCTTATTCTCCAACTCCTCCTTCAGCTCACTTCTTTCGACAGTGTATTTCCTACAGTGAATTATGTGTTCAACTGTTTCACAAGTATACTATACTAGTATACAAGTATTAGTATACTATTCAACCTTGTGTAACCCAACCTTAATCTTGTACTTATGTTCTCCTCAATTCTGCTCTTATCTGTTTCTCTTCCCTTACCCACTGTCGGCTGAATTTGGTACAAGTGCCTACCTTTAGTATCAGTGTTCCAGTACTGCTGCCACACTTTCATGATATTCTTTTTAATAATAGATTTAATTTCAAAGCTATTAAGGGGAATCTGGATATCATCCTTTTCTCTATCTATGGCTGTTTTTGCTAAATTGTCTGCCTCTTCGTTACCTCTTAATCCAATGTGAGCAGGAACCCATAAAAACTTAACTTTTATATCATTTTGCTTAAGTGAATATAGTTCTTGAATTACTTATATTATCATATCTTGTCTTGTTTCTGCTCATCCAAACTTATTAACACAGAACTTGAATCTGAACATATTATTGCATTAGATATTTTGACTTCACTAACCCATTTCATTGCCATATTTATTGCTAACATCTCTCTGGTGTATACTGATAAACAGTTCAAAATATGCTTATGTGATCTGTTGTTCTTTTTGATAGAACAGCAATTAAAGACAAACCCTTATACAGGTGTGGCACACAGGTGTTGCTCATTACCACTCACACGAGTGGCCTATAAATATGAATCAGTAAAGAATGCATGCATCATTGAGAACAACAACATAATCATGGTTTCGCTCAGTTCATTTCTTGTCTGTGAGTTTCTTGTTGCTTAAATTGTGCAGTGAAACTTATGATTTGCTTTTTTGTTGTCTTGAGAAGTTTTTATTTGGTTTAAGTTTTGTGTTGCTATTAATGTGGTTAGCAGTGCACAGGTGTCTTGATCAGTTCTTCTGTTTTTGTTTTTTCAGTGATTCTTCTGAGCTCCAGCTTGCTGCTATCAGCAAGTGGTGGTCATGGTGGCCACAATCGTGTGAGTCACGGTCATGGCAGTCATGGACATGATAGTCTCGATTCTCATGGTCATGGTGGTCATGGCCATTTTAGTCACGATTCTCATGGTCATGGTGGTCATGGACATTTTAGTCACCATTCTCATGGTCATGGTGGTCATGGACATTTTAGTCACCATTCTCATGGTCATGGTGGTCATGGACATTTTAGTCACCATTCTCATGGTCCTGGTGGTCACGGACATGTTAGTCACGGTTCTCATGGTCATGGAGGTCACGGACATGGTAGTCACGGTTCTCATGGTCATGGAGGTCACGGACATGGTAGTCGCGGTTCTCATGGTCATGGAGGTCACGGACATGGTAGTCATGGTTCTCATGGTCATGGAGGTCACAGACATGGTAGTCATGGTTCTCATGGACTTGGTAGTCTCGGTCAGTTTTTACACATTGTAAACAAGTGGCATAACTGGTGTTTCTCCTAATTTTATTAAGCTTTGGTTTTACTTCTTTTGCAGGCCGTAGGGACTGATCTTCTGGGTTCAGGCTTGTTTGCCAGCTTCTCCACATTGGAGATTACTTTCAATAAATGCTTTATTCAATGAGGTCTTAGGTGTTTTTCCTTCTATTTTGTGTGTGTGAAATTCAACCATGACCATGGAACTTGTTAAAACTGTTAATTCTCACAAAACAAATACTTGTTTTCTTTATTTTATTTATTCAATGCAAGTAAGATTGCAATATCTGTAAGGTGTTGTAAAAACATCTGTAGGAAATGTCTAGATTGTGCACATCGCAGAGACGTCTTTGAAAGATTGTAACATGTGCTAAACATTGCATGCGATCGAAGGTTTTTATTTGTTAATGAGCTGTCTTTTTGACCTCTATACGATGAATCTTGGACTCCTGAAATTACCGAAGCAAGCTCTGATATTAGCTCTGAATTAGATGAGAAATTGTCAGTGTCAAGTGTTCTGCGTTATGATGCATGGAGTTAAAGGCAATGTCACTGATAATGTATTTTGCGTGCATGATGTTTAAATTGATCTTTTATGACTGTTTTTTTTTTTTTATTAGAATATGCAAAAATCATACAAATACAAGAAAACGTCAACAAATAACAAATACAAAGCAACGAAACAAAACAAAAACAACAACAATATAGTCATGTACTGGTATGTGAGTGTGTGTGTGAGTGTGTGTATGCATGTAAAGGTAACTTGGTGGACAGGTCAGAGTACATACATAAGGAACAATAACAGTCAATAAATGAAGCAAGTGTCACAGATATAGATAAAACATATAGAAAGAAACCAGTCAGAGGTAGGGAGTAACAACAATGCTTATTAATGTATGATAGTAAAAATGAGAGTTTTATGACTGTTTTAATGTGTACATTTTTTTTGCACACATTCATTTTAGTTAAAATAATAGAAACTGTTGAAATACACTCCAAGAATAAACAACTATTGAAAAAAAATATAAATTTCATAAGAATTGGGTACACACATGCAAACACACGAACACATTTTGGACAACAAAATCTTTTTTTTTTTTTTTTTGATTACATGATCCATCAATAGGTTTAACAAAATAAATGCACAACAAGTAACAGTAGAAAGAAAACGGTAATCTTACCTGCTTTTTATTAGTTGATGTTTACTGTGTTATTTCACTAAAAGCAAACTTATATATATTAGGCATGTAACTGTATCAGAATTTTACGGTACGGTAATACCTCGGTATGAATGACACGGTACGGTATTTATTGAATAATTTACAGAAAAAACAAAACTAATGAAAAGACTCAAAAAAAGTGCCAAAAGTGTTTATTTACCTTAACACTGAACATATTAATGACATACAAATTAGCCATTTATCTGTAAGTTTCGAAACAGGAAATTCAATTTATCAATTTTAATAACAAAAAACCATTAAACAAAAAATAAATAAAGTTTCAATTTAGTATTGTTGAAGTGAAGTTTATTCATAAACTAATTTCGAGAGGAGCACGTGATTATGATTGAACACGGCTGGTTCTGCATTAGCATGCATGATCCACCAATCAGGCCATTCCTAACCCACTATAAAGAGCCAGGGTTTTTTCACCACAGTCATCTTCGATTTGAAGAATACACTGCTCTGCATCAGCTGCTGCAGCTGCTGCAGCTGCTGCTGCTGCAACTTCTCCAGCTACAACTTCTCCAGCTACAACTTCTCCAGCTACAACTTCAACGACAACAACAACAACCCCAACAACAACTTCAACAACTTCTCCAACTACAACTTCTCAACCTTCTACTTCAAATTGCCTCACACAATGCAATCTCTGTGTCTTCAACCCAATTCTCCAACAAGATCACAGTAAAAACTCGATCACCATCCATGAACTCTGCCTAAACTCTCGATGCCTGCGATCCAAGCTGAACTCTTTTAGCGGTGCACCAGCGGTAACATACATGACACTTTTTAAAGGGAAGCCTCACAAACTACAACTAAGATTAAACATCCATCTTTGAAGGATGAATCTAGCATGAATAGAATGACTTGCCTCTCAATCAAGGTTCTAGGCAATCCAATCCTTAAAACCTCAGTCCACAACTTATGCATACGTTGATAAACATCCATGTTAATCCTCCAAACTAGTCGCTGTGGTGCGTTAAATAGAGTAGCGTCCCAAATGGCACACTATACACTATGCACTCATGCACTATGTACTTATGCACTTACACACTCAACAGGATAGTATATGTATGTAGTGTCGTCCCAAATGGCACACTAATGTGTTTTTACTAAGCGGAAATTCAAACCGTTTCCCTGATGACGTTTGACGGTTGCCAAATCAGTGAAATAAACAACAGAATTATCAAATAACACCTGCCGTGAGTATTGCCGCATTCACCATCGGGAGGCGCTAAAATCACTCTCGTAGGAGAATTTTGCTTTCACCATCCAAAATAAATAAAGTTATTTAACATGTGCGTCTGAAAGCTCCGCCCCTTCCGCTACGTAAGCAAACCTGCGGTCGTTGAGTGCGTGAAGTGTCCATCATTACACACTTCATTTTAGCGGCTGAAAGAGTGCATCATCCGGGTAATTTAAGTGCACTTATTATTTTTAGAGTTTTCAGTGTGAACGCACTACTTACACTATTTATACTACAAAATGGCGTAGAATAGTGCATAAGTATTCGATTTGGGACGCAGCTTAGTTCTCTGGCAAACAAAATGGCCGCCGGCCTTTTTCTGCAACTTTGATTGACACTCCTTCGAGCCAATAGCTGAAAGGAGAAGCGTCCCCATCCAATGAACTCTCAAAAAAATTTGAGATGGTCCCACCCTTTCTCCTGACAAGCTCATGAATGACTATCATTACATTCACACAGTTACTACTAAATAGTGACATTAATTTTAAGTTCAGGGTTTGATGTTGGCAGATGATAAATAAATAAATACATAAATAAATGAATAAATAATAAATAAATAATAAAGAAAATAAATATTATAAAATGTTTAAATCAAGAAAATAAATATAAAACAAATAACTAAATAAAATAAATTTAATTAATTAAAAAAAAGAAAAACTGCCACATCTGATGCCAATTTAACTTCTAAAAAGTTTACTCCGCTACTGAAAAACATTCAACGCATTAGGCATAGAAGTCCAATCGTAATATGCCCCAGTGACTTATGTCCATACACTAATAAGCCATAAGCTTATAATGGCAAGTTGGTTAGATGTGAAACGGCAAAGAAACAAAACTTCCCGCTTTGATGTCCACGAATGAGAGGAGGACATTTCTGACATGTCTGATGTTTCATCAATTTACTCTGCGTTAGATACATTTTTAAGCAATTTCTTTATCACCAAGGGGTTTAAACTCCACTATAATTCCACCTACCCTGTCTTCAAGAGGTACATCAGGACCACTAGACGAGCAGATTTCCCATTTAATCTGTCATTCGTAGGAGGGACAAATGCCCACTTCTATCTTTGCACGTTGCGACAATGAGGCTATCGTACCATGCATTAACAAAGGCACTTCCACACTTAGTTGCCCATGCTCTTATTAAGACGCCCCGCATGGTTATCAGCTAAAACAATTCATTGTGTTTGCCATACAAGTACCATGTTGTAATGTCATTTCTGATTCTCTCTTGTTTTTCTCATTTCAGAGATCATGTCAGATGGTTGCAGAAGCTGACCCTCATCCAACCTATTACACTCCACATCCATTTCTAAATACATGCACACTCTGCAAATGACACACTTCGACTCACATAGCCCACACCCTCGATGCCATATTCACACTAGCCTTTTTTAATTTAAGTCTTCTGAACTAAGTATGACATTTCAATCCAACAATACACCTAACCATATTTGATCTAACTTCGCAGGATAAAGGGATGCAGGATGATATCCGTTCCCCCACACACCCGTTCTAAACCTCTTAACATTTTTACACCACAGAAGAGCAATACCACCTCAGGGAAGCCCAGCCGATCCTCTCCAGCCAACTTCCACCATCATGCATTTTTGGGTATAAGTATGACATTTCCTTCCTATTTCCCTTCCTATTTAACATAGGAGCTCCTTCACTACCCTTCCCCGTTTTTCTAGCTTTGACCTTTTCTCTCCAAATTTGAACTATCCCATACTTCTATTTACTTTCATTCACCACAGCTCCGACCAATTCAGGGGTTGTCTTGAGTTTCAATTGCTGCAACAGGAATGTTCTAAATGAGCTTGCATACACTAAAAAAATTTCTAAATACCACTATCGTTGCACTCCCTGCACTAATACAGCAGTAAATGCTTCTGCGGGAGCACAAGTTGCCTCCATACTGGCCCACTACACCACTGCAGCCGCAGAAATGCTCCGCAGAGTTGCACACCCAAAGCACCACTGCTACCGCAGTGATCCTCTAGCTAAGCCTTATTCACCTTCATCTTTACATATCACTAAAGGCAGTATTTAACGTCCCTGCGGGAGCACTCAACTTTCTAATATCGATTGTTGAGGTGCTCCACTTAACTATACACCCCATTAATATCACTGCAACTGCAGTGACGCTCTAGCTGAGCCCCTTTTTCACTTTCATCTCTAAATATCACTGCTAATAGTACTTAGTATTTCCGTGTGAGGCTCTAATACTGACTACCACTGCACCTCTGCTACTGCAGAGACGCTTTGCCGAGCCTTATTCTCCCTCTGCACCACTGCTGCAACAGTTAAGCTTTGCCTGAGCTGCAACTGCAGAGACGGCCATTTAGCTTTAATTCTCTGCACCACTGATTTTATTGCACTTCTGTAACTGCAGAGAAGCTCTGCTGAGATTATTTTTTCTCCTGCACCAATGCTGCAGCAGTGACGCCCTGCCTGAACAGTTTTCCAACAACAGATATAAACTCTGTCATTGGTCCTCTAACACCTCTAAATCCTCAATTTGCCTCAGCCAATATTTCCTCAGAGAAGCCCAGCTGATTCTCGGTTGTAGACTTCAGCCTAGTTTCCAAGCAGCACGACTCTGTCTGTTCTCCCTACTTTCTGTCTTAGTTGCATAGGACTCATTTTTACTAAACTTTCCTTTTTATTTTATTA